ACAACTCACCTGTTTCCCTGATATGGGGAAAAGAACTTGCAGAGCATGAATTTTGCGACGTGCTCTTCTCTCCAGAATGTCAACCGTTTCAATTCTTCTGTGACCGCCTCTCCTTTTATGTCGCTGCATAATGCCATTATACATGAGTGATTTCTAAACTTTAACCTTCTCCTCTCTGTGTCATTGAAGCGCTATATAAAAAGAGCTGAAGCAGCTGGTCTCCTCAGAATTGGAATATATAAGACAGATCAGAGAGCTGATTATAATGATGTAAGAATTAAAGTGCCATTGAGGAATCCGTGGCTATAAGGGATATCCTATTCATTTCAAATTTTTGAAATTTTCCTAATATGAATTATACACACATTTTACAAATGAAAGAACGTAAAATTTGTCTCAAAACAATTCTTTTTAATCAAATCCAGTTTTTCTTAGTGGAAGCCAGTGGGACTTTCCTAAGTGGACTGGCAATTCTAAGAGTCTTTACATTCAGTCTCTGTGCTGCAAGACACAGGAAATCGCTTGCCTTCTCCCTGCGTGTTTTCCTCTCAGATATTCCTTTTAAGTGGTTTCCACCCACCACTTAGACACTTGCAGTGACAAAATAGGAGGCTGATTTATCAAGAATGGGCTCTCTCACTTTTAGAAAAATTCCCTTCTAATTATAAAGCCAATATGCTTTTATGTTTTACCTAGTGTTTGCTCCGGTAGATTTTTGTCACACAAATCTCATCCCTGTTTAAAGGTAATGTGGTTCAATGCCAGGGTCCTCCATCGAGACTCAGTCTTAGCTCCAGTACTTGTTATGTATCTCACTGAAGTACCCTTCGTTGGTACACTAAGCCCTTTATGACATTCTTTATTTAGTTTCCTAAAAGAGCCTATAAAAGTAGATAGTGTTTTCTCTGAGTCTTACTGGGGACAAATCGAATTGGTAACAGTCAATGTGATGATGATGATAATAATAATAAAAAAATGATAATGATGTGCCAGGCATTATGTGAGCACAATAGTCAGAATTTATGCAGTTTGCCTGCTATTACCTACTTAGTATCTACGTTAGTCATTTTTCTCATTGCTGTGACAAAATACCCTGACAAAGGTAATTTATGGAGGGTATGGCACATCTATCACGGTGGGGGATTTGGAGGGTGTGGCATGTCCATCATGGTGGGGGATTTGGAGGGTATGGCATGTCCATCACGGTGGGGAATTTTCAGGGTATGTTATGTCCATCATGGTGGGAGATATGGAGGGTATGGCATCTCCATCATGATGGGGGATATGGAGGGTATGGCATGCCTATCATGGAGGGGGATATGGAGGGTATGACATGTCCGTCACGGTGGGGGAGTCATGGTGCCACGAGCATGAGGCAGCTGGTGACATTCCTACAGTCAGGAAGCAGACAAATGCTGGCCATCTGCACACTGTCCTTTTATTCAGCTCAGGACCCCGGTTTATGGTATGATGTCATCCATAGTTAAGATGGGTCTTCCCACCTCAATAAACTAGATAATCCCTCACAGGCATCCTAGAGACTCGTCTCCTAAGTGAGTCTAGATCTCTATCTAGTTCTGGTCAAGGTGTCAGGAATACTAACCAGCACACTATCAGAAGAAGCTGTTTGCTCAAACTGAGGTTAAAGTCTGAAGGGCCTCTGGAGCTGGCTTTGTTTTGTGCTATGTGGAGTCTTCATCTAGGATTCAAAAGGTAGCCAGAGAACATAGTTAACACCCTTGCTTGATGAGCTCTTTCTTCGGGTTGTCATTTATTTCTCCTTAGTATCTTTTAGAGATGGCCCTTCTGTTTCTACTATGCCCACTGCTCTTTTTGCAGGAAACTAAATAATACAGCTCCCGGGTCAGTCATGCTCCTGCAGTGACACCCTGCATAGTGAAAGGTCACTCACGGGAGCACAGTGAAGGGTCATTCGCGAGAGCATAGTGAAAGGTCACTTACGGGAGCACAGTGAAGGGCTACTATTGGGAGCACGGTGAAGGGTCACTCACAGGAGCATGGTGGAGGACCACTCATGGGAGGACGGTGAAGGTCACTCACGGAGCACAGTGAGACATTACTCACAGGAGCACTAGCAAGGTGTCACTACAGGAGCGTGACTGACAGGGGAGCTGTATCACTGCAAAGCCCACCCAAGTATGGGTGATGACTCTGAACACTGCATCCCTGGGATGCATATGATTTGCAGTTAGCATTATGAAGTCTTCTCTCCCAGCAGCTGCGTACTGCCTTGATGCCCCAGGAACGGGTCATATGAGTTCCCTGAGCTTTATGAGCCTGTCTCTCCCTACAAGAGGAAGGCTTCAATCCTGAGGAAAGAGCCACACAGCAGAGTGAGCAATTCCTTCCTGTGGCTGTTACTCAGCATCACCCCTAACCTAGTGGCTCAAAGTGACAATGATCATTTATTAGCTTTTGTGGTTTCTGGGGTTTGGAAATTCAGATGAGAGGTGACGGGTGAGGTTTCTGTCTACGCCTTGATATCTGAGACCCTGGCAGAAAATGTGACAGAAATCATCTAAAGGACAATTTACTCATGAGTCTGTCCTCTGGAGTTCACACATGTGACCCAGGCTTCCATGTAGCCTCTAAAAAAACAAGAAACCACAACGCCTTTGGTAACTCAACCTTGAAAGTCACACAATAGTTCATTCATTACATCCTGCAGACCAAGGCAACTTCAAATTTCCTCTCAGGATCCAGGAGGAGGAACACAGACCCCACCTCAACAGCGGAGGTGCCATGGTTTAAGAACATATTGATAGAACCATCTTTAAGTTTCCTATAGTGAGAAGGGTAAATGTGTGGATAAAGTGACATTTCAACCACATGCTTCTGTCCCTGGGGGTAGGGCTAGGAATGGGAGGTGGGAATATACTGGGAGTGTTTGGAGACTAGTAGGGGTGGCCTAATCTTAATATTTATTGCCTATCAAATAGACATCAACAAATCAATAAACATTAACAAATCAAAGGGAGGAGTGTGTGGTGAGTGAGAGGGAACATGGGAGTCTGAGGTGGTGAGAAGGTCTTGGGCTTAGTTTAAGTTATAGTAGATAAAGTTTGAGGTGGATTAGGTGTGTTGTGTGAGAAAGGTCTGGGTGCCTGGAGAGGGGACTGTTTTATTCTGAGACAGGGAGGGGTGAGTGCCTACAACTGTGCAGAAGGCGATGGGCCCTGTAGTCTCAGGGATGGCAAGTTAGTGGTGTTTCTTACTCAATACTCAAGTGAAAGTGCTGAAGAGGCGTTTGGATAAATAAATAGCAAGCTCTGGGGTTGAGCTGGGCAGAAGGCTAGGAAAGCCACAGGCTGAAGATGTGATCTCCGAAGCCAACACCAATGGCTGCACACAGAAGCAGGGACCAAGCCCTGTGTCCCCTGTGAAAAGGACACTGGAAGAGAATGGAGTGTCCTGGAAGCTTAGGGAGCAAGGAGGAAGGATGCAAGCGTCCTTGGCTCTGACAGGTCCAGGTGGGGGCTGAGACCATGGCAACCATCAGGCAGTTCTTGGTAACTGTCTGAGCAGTTTCAGAGGGCTGGGGACGGACGCCTGACTGAGAAAAGCTTGTAGAGAATGGGAAGAGGGTTGGATGGGAGGCTGACAGGCGGCACTGGCTGGGGTTTTGGCTCAGACGAGTGAGGACAGCGCCACAGTGAGCTGCGGAAGTGTCGCGTGAGCTTTAGTTTTCCAAAAGAGACAAAGAACAGAGGGCTTGTGTGCGGGATGGGCGGGTCTAGTAGAGAGTGGAGGTGGGGCATGGAAGAGGGACACCCCTGCGCATCATCCTTGTGCATGCCTTAGTTACAGGAAGCCTGTTTCTCTAACCTGTGGCTAGCATGGGATGGGCAACACGGCAGAGACACAACCTCTTCTAAGCTGTTCCTCGGTACCAGTCCTGCTACACACACAGACACACACACAGACACACACACACACAGACACACACACAGACACACACACAGAGACACACACACACAGAGACACACACACAGACACACACACAGACACACACACACACACACGAGTTAAAGGCCAGTCAGGGCGATATAGTAAGACTATCTCCTTCTCCTGCCCCCATAAAAGTCCCATATATATCTATATATTTATATAGAAAGACATGGCACGCTACACCCAGAATTAACTTAGAAATAGTCTAACAGGATGTGTGCGATGCCTTTGTCTCACACCACTGTCTGCCTTGCTTCTGTCTTTTCTATAGCAGGATTATCATATCTTACGCGTTACACTGCACCTGAATGATGGAAGATGTGGTGTGACCAGACAGTGTTATTGATGATGCTGACAGCCATACCCTCCTACTTGTCCCCTTTCTGTGTCCCTCTGTTACCTTCACCCCCTCCTTCCTTATACTTGCCCATAGATAGCATTTTGTCCTTAACGCCTACCCTGCACAAGAGTCCATTGTCCACTGAGGAGACGATATAGTCTGTGCCCTCTGCCTCACTGTAGTGTGAATCTCCTGGTTCACTGTTTCTCATCCCAGTTTGCTTTACAGTTTGCTCCAATGCACTGGGGGTTGGATCTTACTTCCACAGCCAGAGCATGGCCCGACTGATTACTACCAAGTTCTTCATACGACTGGCTTTCCAAGGTGTAAAGGTTTTTAAATGAGCCCATGTGGTTCTTCACACGTGGGCTTATGCCAGGGAAATCAGGGTGGGGTGATTAACGAAACAGGTGCTCCGTATCCTCCAAAGACAACCGGCTTCATTCATGTCTGAGTGTTGTGGAGGAAAAGCCAGCCTTTGTAACTTGTGATGTTAGAGCCATGTGATTGTATAGCTCCTTTTTCCTGTCTCAGTGATTACATAGCTTATTGATTAAGTTCCCTATGCAACAGGGTACTAAGAATGAAGACAGAAGGGATAATTAAGGGGAATCTTTAAGAGAAAAGAGAGAAGTAGCCAGTCCCATGCTTCTGATTGTCGCATCATCTCCTCCTTATTGTCCCCATGCAGAGCTGCCCAGAAGTTAAACCTGTCATCCAAGAAGAAGAAACACCGGCCTTCGACGCCGTCTGCTGCGGAGGCTCCCCTCTTTGCTACCAGCTTCAGTGGGGTCCTGCAGACCTCGCCTCCCCCGGCTCCACCCTGTCTCCTGAGGGCCGTCAACAAGGTGAAGGACACTCCTGGCATGGGCAAGGTAGGTGCCACTTGTTGCCTCTAAGGTCGGTTCCATGCATGGCGCTCTGAGCAGGTTGGGAAAGAAAAGAACAGCTGTGAGCTCTCGTCTGCTAAAATGAGGAGGGACCAGGAATGAAAATAGACACAACAAAGTTGGTTCGGGGGTCCCAGTGTTCACACTTTCAGCTATTGTATTCACTCAGGGTTAATTCTGGACTGAAAATAATCATAGAAAAGTTTAGAAATAAATACCAAAGAAGCTCATAATAACTTTTACTGCTGAGCATTGCTATAGTTAGAGCTCACTGATGTTCCTCTCTTACTGTGTCTGATGTTTCAGTGGAACTTTATGTGGGGATGTGACACAGATCCGCGAGATCTATCCATTTCTGCCGTCATAGACTGTCTCGGCAACTGGAGACCGCCAAGTTTTCTTTGGCCGTACAAATTTGGCCAACTCGTACATTAAGTTGGGGATCTGATTTGATTTGGGTAGGGAGGGAAAATGGCTTTGCATTGTTGAACAGGATCATAGCCATTTCAAAAACAGAGAGACAAAAGCCAGAAGCAGAGCCACGGGGAAACAAGTTGAAGATGAAACCACTCCTTAATTTCCACGTGTCATTTCCGAGTCTTTCTCCTCTTCAGAAGTGGTGAGCCCTGCCTTTGAACCAGACCACTGGTGTGAGTTCTGGGAACTGTTTCAGCCTTGCCTTTCCAGCCAAGAAATGCACTCTGGAGTCGTCACAAGGACTTAGAAAGACGCAAGGGAAGTCTGTTACAAGATATTGCCAGGCTACATAGATGATAACTTTATTTCTAAATGTCAACTCTTAACTCTTTCTCTCCCAAGATAAACGTCTGGGTGAAGTAATTTACAGCTTAATCTTCAGTGAGGAAATAAACTGGGACTTATAAAAATATGCAGTTGGAGAGATATGGTGATTCTATTCCTTATTTTCATCAGAGTACAGATGTACAGAGAACGTGGGACCTGACTGGCCTCGGGCTTTCTCTCAGATAGTAGCTGGTCAGTCTGAAGAAAGCAGAACCACACTCTGTAGATTATGATTTTACTAATTCTTATTTTTTTTTTGAGACCAAAATTTGATTGTGCTCCAATTTATGGTCTCCAGATGACCATGGTCCCTACAGAATGACCTTGTATCCTGTGTCTAGTCTCCTTCATTCTCTTCTTCCTGGTTCTCCTCTTTCCAGTGGGCACCCCCAATACCACCATCCCCCGCAAGAAGACTTTACTTCATGATGCTCTTCCCCAAAGTGAACTGATTTTAAAATGAGGTAAATAGAGCAACGGTCACTGTAGTAGAAAACACCCAGTTCTGGAATTTTCTATGGTGTTTCACACAGACAAGTGTCAGCTGAGAAATCTTTGTGGTCCAGAGGTTAAGACAGACCTTAGGCAACGGTCTGCAGGGTCTTCTTCATCCATACACCATGTGGAAGCCAGTGGAGACAGCAGAATGGCCCAGAATGTCTCCTCCAGATTGGGCACATGAGGGTGGGAACCACTGAGAAAGGGCCGTGATGGGGACCTGGTGGCTATGGGATGGCTATTAAGAGGTAGGTCTAAGTGACTGCACGGCTTCTTTAATGGTGGTAGATGCACACAGTGTAAGGTGACCCATCACATACATGTTTAAGTGTGCAAGGACATTTATTTTGTTAACGTGTTGGGACTGAATGCCAGAGATTAGTCCTGGGGGCAAGGTGAAAGCCCGCTGTCACCTCCTCTCTCTCACTCCTGTTTCTAATTAACAGTCCACTCTTCTTGACTACGAACATTTATATGGCATCTCTTAGGAACGGTGTCGGATGCTTGACCATCCCAGTGTGGCCCTATCTAGGACATGCTCAGTAGAACCTGCCAGATACACTACCGTCATCTCTCACTTTGGCCTGACAGTCTCTGTGGGCATTTCTTCAGGTGGGCCTAGGCCTCTGCCTCTGCCTAAGGCCCCCTGTGCCCTTTATCTGCTTCCCTAAAGGACTTTCAGAATCCCAAGATCCAAGTGACAGGCATGAAGGTCAGGGACCATATCAGTGGAGAGAGTTCTTGTAACCGGCAGTGACCAAACACTGTATGGATGTTCAAGGGCATGGGGACAATCTGGACTTCGCTAGATGTAGCATCTGTGTGTAAGGACGTCCAGTGCACACCCATCCCTGGTAGTAGTCAGCAAATCATACGTTTAACATTTGAGAATAGAGGTGTTATATCCATCTCGCCCATTTGCAATGCAGAAATCAACCAAAGACCTCAGTTTGCCATGGAAACAGCATGGGCGTCAGCCTGTGGGTCTCAAGAGAAATGGTGTGGTTTCTGTCTGACCAGTGGCCACATGGCCGCTGAGACCTCCCTCCTCTTGAGCTGACCCTTGGGGAACCGCGACAGGGAGGACGTGACAGTTGGAGGAACTGTCTTCTGAGAGGTAGTTGTAAGAATGTATGTGCTGTGTTAAAACCACAGCTAGGTCCTCTTCCCAGATACCCATTTACATCTTAATAGCTCAAAGAAACATAGTTGAGTTTAATATAGAGCATAAATAATGATGCTATTTATATGATTGAAGTAGATGAATTTGGTTGAATTGCCTAAAACCACTCCATGTTCTAAGCCTTACGTTGGGCCTCTGGGATGCTCTATTAGGATCGTCAGCTCTCAGAACAGCTCCTGGCACATAACAAGTATTTCCTGTGCACCTACTGTGTGTCAGGGGCTGCATGGATGGGAAGAAATGAGTGCCCATCCTCATAGCGCTCAACACCTTGTGCCCTCTTCCAGGCAATCAAAGAAATGGCTCTAATTCAAACCAATATGAGGGACCCTGGCTCCAGGGAATTCAAATGACTGACTAAACACGACGAAATGTCCAAAGAACTAACTACCATTAACTGGCTCTGTAAAGACATCCTTAATGGTCAGATACAAGTGATTAGCAGATCAAAGCAGCTTAGCCTCCATTTCTATTTCATTGATTTGGCTTATATGTAAATGATACTTGTAATCTGTTTGAAAATGGTTTCTTCTCTCGTAAGTCAGCAAACGCGCCCTGTGAAATCTGTTTGCACAATTAATTAGCAGGTGTGTTTAAGGTTCATTTGTTAGTGTGTCACGATGTGATGTCGGCGCTCTTCATCGGGGGTTGCCAGGGTCCAGAGAAAAGCCTGTTATCGGTGTAACTCTTGGGGTTTTTGGCTCCGCAGACGTAGTTAAAGGCTAGGACGCTGTCATTCTGGATCGGTGACAGTCCACCTGGAGTCTAGTTGACTCTTCCTTTCCCAGGTGACTAACTGAATGGAGATGAGGCATGAGAGGAAGATGGGGTTTCTTTTCCCTTACAACCGCCAGGAACATCTCAGAAAAGTGACAGACTTTGGTTAACCTAGCATGTTCCCATCCCCCAACACATTCCACAAATATTGAAAGTTTCCTGTAGTGAATTCCAGAAGCAAGGAAAGAAATCATGCAGGGTCTGACAGGATTCTGAAGAAACAGGATGAAGTACACATGAGGGGGAATTGTGGGAAACAGATGCGGGTTGGCGGAGGCAGGGCCTTACCTTGCTGGACTCACTTACCAAGTGGTTATAAAGACTTCCTATCTTCTGGGTTCCACAGTAGGGCCACTGATGGAGGTAGGGCAGGGGAAAGGAAGGTAATGGCCACCTCATTGTAAGCACTGTGACAAGGAGGATTAGTGTGTATCCACCCTGGATCCTGTGTCCTCCCGTGTCCACCTAGCCTAGTTTGGTAAGAGATAAGTTGTATGGGGCTCATTAAGGGTGACTATTCATTGCCATAAATGGCCACTTGGCTGTCAGGGCCTGCCTCACTGAGAGTCTTCCTTTCTGAGCAATGCTACCCAACACTGGCAATTTGGTGGAGATGTGGAACTATGAGATTCCTAGGGTAACAAGGACTAAAGCCCATACTCTGTTCTCCACCACCCTCACCCAGTGAGGGCTCACTCTGACCTCTGATAACACCCCCCCACACACACACACACCACACACGAGCAGCTTATGTCACCAGGTCCTGTGTTGTCTCTGTTTATATTCTCAACAGAGCTTTCAAAGTTTCAAGCTTTTTTTTTTTTGTTGGGCGTAAACTAATTGCATGGTAAAGAAAGAACCACCATGAGGTGTTTGCTAGAACTCTGGTTCTTTTGTGTATTTGCTGACATCTTCAGGACAGAAGTCCTTCAATTACTAAATCTTTGTGGCACTCTATAGAAGAGGCGATTCCTGTCAGGTTGATGCTCTGATTACAAAGAGAAGATAGCAATAAGATTTATTTAAAGGAAGACTCTCTCAAAGGTACTAATGTAGCTAGTATTCATTTATTTAACAAGGAAAAATGGCAAGCACAACTTCGGGGAGGTGATTTCAGGTCTTATCAAGGAGAAAAATCTCCTGCCTTCCAGCCTGGGAAGGTCCAGGTCATTTAAACACATGCAAATTATCCCATTCCTCATTACCATGCCTGCCCTCCCTCCCTTTTCTCCCCCATCCTAAAGCTTTTATCAGGGAGAAGAGTGAAGATTCGAGTCCGTCTTTAAAATTCATTTCAAGTATATATGAAATAAAAAATTCAGATCGGCTGGAAAATTCTGGCTCCCAGCCGTCACTCACCGTCACTGCTCCATCTTAAGTATGACTGACAGGAACAATGCATTGCTCCTTTCTGGAGTACTGCTGAGGTAGACCTGTCTGCATAACTAACGCGCCGTTATCACTATGGCTCTCCTGATGGCTTTGTAAATTAAGTTGTTAGCTCTTCCGGGAAATAAACCCATGTGACCTTCCACTCCCTAATTGCAATTACGCCTTTCCATGTTAAGTTGATTTGGACTGCTTCAGCCAAATACACAGAGTTATGACTCTTTGGGTGGGGACTTTTTTTCCTCCTCATTCTCTCTGCCTCTGTGAGTTTGACCCTTTCTCCCACCCATCTCTGGAGGAAGCAGATGTGGAAAAGTTGCACTGACTCTTTAAC